ATGACATTGATACAAAACTAGGAAAAGACAATATATTGAGATTGTCACAATCACAGGGTTGGAAGAGTCCACAAGGGCTATGCAGGAGTACCCAATCAAAGCACTCCCGACAGATGGTCATCCAGCCTCTGCTTTAAAACCTCCAGAGACGAAGACTTGGCCACATTTTGAGGCAACTGATTGCAGAACAGCTTAACATTCTTCCTAATGTTTGAGTGGAATCTCTTTTCCAGCATTCTGAATCCATTGCTCTGGGTCCTAGTCTCCAGAGAAGCAGTAAACAAGCTCGCCTGTCCTCAATGTGACATCCTTTCTGTTGGGTTTCATCCTTGGACTGCACATCAAGTGTCATCAAGTCTCCGGTCCTCAATGAGTAGATAGACTAGAGATAGGGTTAAGCTGAGGGATTCCTCCCCCACATTCCTATGCATGTTTACCAAAAAAGGCTTTGTCTTTACTCCTCCTGCCACCCACTGTCTCCTCCCCTTTGAAGATATAGAAGTGGAATTCTGTGAGGGAACTTCCTCTTTAAGTTTTATTGCTCTGGGTTGAGCAATAAAACTTTGTCTCTTCTGCCTTTCCTTCCTTCCAGTGAGGACGCATTTTGCCTCTCTCTTTAGGCAAAATGTAGCTGCATGGACTTTCTGAGTTTTTATGCTTTTTTACTTTTAAGATAAGACTTAGACTTTAGAAGATAAGACTTAGTAAGCTAGTTAGCTCCAAGACCTTTTCTATCTGGAATGTATTTCTTTTACTTCAATAAATATTTTTGTACCTAAAGTTCTGACTCTACCATCCTAAGGAACAGAAGCTTATCCCAGCTCATTGCATGCAAGTTTCTGCTGGTTATGAAGTTTATTTCTGGTACACTGTTATATTTATGGTGGAACCACCCTCAACTGAGGGTTATTTTTGAGCCTAGCAGCTCAGATTCCCCAACAAAGGGTTAGGGGCCCAGATACCTGTGTGCTGAGAAAAGGAGAAATAGCTTTACAGGATAGATGAAAAGGAGCAAAAAAAAAAGTTTCTCAAAGAGATTTTGGAGTTTTGTTCCCCAACACTTTCAAATATTAAAATATGGGTGTCTTGTTCGGTCTCTCAATATTCTCCAAGCTAAACAGTATCCCCTCTGCCTCACTATATATTGATATAGATAGATACAAGGAAAAACATGGCCATCCCAGGCATAGTTTGGCCACAGAAAGCTCCAGGAGAGGCATCAGAGGCTCTAAGTGGGCACCAACTATTCTAGGTCTGGGTTGTTGTAGGTTTTTCGGGCTATATGGCCATGTTCTAGAAGCATTCCCTCCTGACGTTTCGCCTGCATCTATGGCAAGCACCCTAGGCTTGTTTAGCTCCCTGCCTGACATTTAATAAGATTTCCTCCCAGATAAATGAATAGATATTATATACAAGGCATGGGCCAACTTGGGCCCTCCCTCCAGATGTTTTGGATTTCAACTCCCACCATGCCTAACAGCCTCAGGCCCTTTCCTTTCCCCCCTGAGCCGTTTAAGCGGATGTGGAGGGAAAGGAAGGGACCTGAGTCTGTTAGGAATAGTGGGTGTTGAAGTCTAAAACACCTGGAAGGAGGGCTCGAGTTGACCTATGCTTGGTGTATAGTCTATAGTCAAAGTCCATTCACACAAACGCTATCCGACTCTTCACAATACTTGTGTATCTGCTGTCGATTGACGGCAATCCCAAGGGTTTGGTAGGGGGTTTTTTTTCCTGGAGAAGGCTGTATGGCCATGTTCCAGAAGCATTCTCTCCTGACGTTTCGCCTGCATCTATGGAGGTTGTGACAACCTTTCTGTTGAGTTTCATCCCTGGACTGCACAAATGCTGCCACACTTACTGGGAAGTGAATCCCAGCGAAGCCTCCCGGGATTGACTTCCGAAGGGGAAATGGAGACGGATCGCGTTTCCACCCCCTCCCACATACAAACCCCAAGACCCCCAAATCCCTGCTGCTTTCCCAGCTCTTCTGCTCCGCCATCTGCCAAGGAAAGAGCCAGGAAGCAAAGTTTGAAACAACAACAAAAAAATCACAGCGAAGCCTCTCTCTCTCTTTCTCCCTCTCTCTCTTTTTTTTATTTATCCTGGGGCCATTTAAAAAGGAGGCGAGACTATAATCTATGCAAATCTCCGCCATTTATTCTTGTATGGATTATGCCGGGCGCTCGGTTTCCTTTTGTTGAGCCAAGGAAACCTCCTTCCCTCCCTCGGAATCGCCGCCCTTGAATTTCCCTTTGCAAGGATCAGTCGGGGGAAGGAGGGTTTGGATTTGGATTGAAGCGGCACCCGACAAGGAAGGAGGCTCGGGGAAAAAGCAGAAAAAAGCAGTTGTTTTTTTCAAATAGGAGAAATTTGTTTTTTTCTGTTTTTTTGTTTTTTTTGTTTTGGATTTTTGTTGTTTTTTGTTTGTTTTGTTTTGTGTTTCGCAGGCGGGGATGTCTTTGGGGAGGAAAAAATGCCACCAGGATTTCGTTTTGCTTCGCTCTGCAACGCCGCGGTGCCATTTCTGCCCTGATCCGATTACCAAATGCGGCGCAAAAGCCTTTCTGGGACCTCGTTTTGGGGCAGATGGCAGCAGCAAGTCCTCAAGGAGCCCGGAGAGAAAGAGAGAGAGAGAATGGCAAGGGGAAAGGATCGGTTACATTAAGGAGAAAGGAGGCGAGGGGCAGCTCCAGGCATTGGCTCTTTGCGCCGCCTCCAAACTCAAGCGCCCTCGCCTTCCTCCTTTGATTCTTCGGTCTGTCTCCTCGGATCCTGTCCCAGATCCTATCGGTTTAATCCCTATTTTCCACAAACCAGGCGTCGGAGAGCTAGCTTGGACCACTTTTGCAAAAGTTTGGACCCCCAGCCTGAATGAATCCCTGGAAACATTTGGAAAAAGGAAGGGGTGGCAACTCTTTGCAGTCCTTTCGGCTCTCCTCTCCCCTTCTCTCGCCTTTTCCTGATCCCTCCAATATATATATTTTAAATAACTTTCCCCCCTTTTAAAGAAAGGGACTCTCAAATGTTCTCTGCTTTGGAAATCCCAGGGCTGGGATTGGCGTCTTTTCTGAACCAAGTCCATTCACGCGTCTTTCTTCCCCCTCTGTCCAAGCTGAGCTTGAAAAGGAACGAGGAGACCCGAGGCGCCCCTGCTTTGGCTCCCTGGGAGCCCTCCTCCTCCCTCTCTGGAGCTGGGACTCCCATCTAATGCAGGGGAGATCCATCTTTTCAAAGGCAAATCATAGAAAGGGAAAGAAAGGCGCACAGGCCGCCAAACACATTTCCAACGCTTGCTTTTGAGCCCCGCTCCGGAGTCCTGAGATCAAGCCCTTCCCAGGCCTCTTCCACACAGCTGAAGACAATCCCACATTATCTGCTGGAATATATAACAGTGTGGACTCAGATAACCCAGTTCAAAGCAGATCTTGTGGGTTATTCTGCCCTGATATTCTGGGTTATATGGCTGTGTGGAAGGGCTCCCAGAAGCTGATCCCGTTTCAACACTGTAGGCTACTCTGGGCAGAGAACCTTTCCTCTACTCAGACTATAAAATACCCAGTGGCTGTGCTGATCAAAAGATATCGTCCTGTATATTATATACAATATATGCCTGCCTGTCCTGCCAAAGGTATACCATCTAAAAAAATATGGGTAGACTTAGGACCCATAGGACAAAAAACAAAAAAACAAAAAAACAAGTAGGTCTTGCCAAAGACATACAATGTAATGTGTTTATCTCTTCCCCTTCCACACAGCTGAATAAAATCCCACATTATCTGCTTTGAACTCAATGTGGACTCAGATAACCCAGGGCCCTTCCACATAGTCATATAGCCCAGAATATCAAGGCAGAAAATCCCACAATATCTGCTGTGAACAGGGAGACCTTCCACACAGCCCTCTATCCCTGACTATAAAGGAAGAAAATACCACATTATCTGAGTGTGGACTCAAGGCTCTTCCACACAGCCTTATATCCCAAAATATCAAGACAGAAAATCCCACGTTGTCTGAGTGTGGACTCAGATAACCCAGTTCAAAGCAGATATTGTGGGATTTTCTGCCTTGGTATTCTGGGATCTAGGGCTGTGCGGAAGGGCCCTGGGTTATCTGAGTCCACACTGAGTTCAAAGCAGATAATGTGGGATTTTATTCAGCTGTGTGGAAGGGGAAAGAGATAAACACTGTCTTTAGCAAGACCTGCTTGGTTTGTTGTTGTTGTTGTTGTTGTTGTTGTTCTCCTACTTGCAAAGCGCCATCATAAGCAATGATAACATTAGACATCATACAGATAATTGCAATAATAATCTATCACAATTATCGTAGTCAAAATCCAAAGAGGAGAAGCAAAAGAAAACTGGACACCACGGAGAGTTTCCCGCATGGAAAGAAAGCACAGTATGTCTGATTCAGAGACAGGAAAAACCAACCGAGAGAAGAAGAGGGTTTAGTTTTTTAAAGGCGCAAAAACTCCATCCCAAGATCTGTCCCTTCGCCATCTCTCCTTTCTCTCCAACCACTTTCTGCCTCTTTTGGGGAGACTTTCCCCCATTCTCTTTCCAGGCCATTTTTGCTTCCATTTGAATTCACAAATATAATCTGGGAAGAGCAAGGGCGCCCTTGGTTGGACAAAACCCAGCCCGGTCATCCACACATGCATTCCGAATTAAAATCCCTGCGGAAAGTGCACTGCATTGACACTGTGGGATGAATATGTTTGGAGGCCACTTTAAGTCAAGGCCATGGAATCATGAGAGTCATAGTTCTACAGCAGGCATGGGCAAACTTGGGCCCTCCTTCCAGGTGTTTTGGAGTTCAACTCCCACCATTCCTAACAGCCTCAGGCTCTTAAGTAGCTGAGGGGGGAAATGAAAGGGCCTGAGGCTGTTAGGAATAATGGGAGTTGAAGTCCAAAACCCCTGGAGGGAGGGCCCAAGCTTGTCCATGCCTATTCTACAAGGTCTTAAGCTTCCTCTGCTGGTTCCCGCGTGGGCGCCCACCTGGACCCTGGCCTCGGAGAGCCCCAGCCGCTGGCTCAGCTCCTCCCGCATGAAGGCGTCCGGGTAGTGGGTCTCGTCGAAGAGCCGCTCCAACTCGTTGAGTTGCTCCAGGGTGAAGTTGGTGCGGCTCCTCCGCTGCTTGATCTTGGCCTGGCCCTCGTCCTCCATGCCCTTGGCCTCCTCCTTGCGCTCCTTCAGCTCCGGGGAGACTGGGAGGGGGGAAGAAGCACAGAGGGGGGGGGACTGTCAGCGACGCCCCAAAGAAGCCCACTCCCCCAACCGAGCCCTCGCCCTGGCCCTCTCAACCACAGCAGCAGCATGAGCATCACTCAAGCCCTGCTCTGGGTCTTCTCCTCCCCATGGATGGCCTTTGATTCCATTACTTTCAGTCCTAAAGGCTTGACAGGAGAGGGAGAAGGGGGTGGGGGAGGGGAAAAGCGCTCATGACATGCTCAGAGGTCACAGAGGTGACGAACATCGGATTCGCGGACCCAAACAGCTCCCCTGGGCAAGTTGGGCAAGTTAGGGTGACTTTCCACTATAGGGAATCGCAGGCTACTCCTAGTTCAGTACAGCAAAGCTTCAGATCCTCTGGCGTCAAGGAAATTGGGGCGGCAGAGCCAAGACCCCGAGGAAAAGGCAGGGGAGAAGTTCTAAAAGCCTTTCTCTTGAGTAAGCCAGGCTGAGTCTACACTGCCCAATAATGCAGTTTGAACTTTACTATATGGTCAGTGTACTTACTTACTTACTTACTTACTTAGACTGAGCCATATAATATAGTTCAGTGCAGCTTCCATGGCAGTGTAGATCCAGCCAAAGTTGAGCCTCCCTTCTAATCTGGTTAAGGCTGTTTAGGTTGGGGTTTTCGGCTCCCTAAGGCTGGATCTACACTGCCATCGAATGCAGTTTGAAGGGCACTGAGCTGGCTCATATGGGTTTACACACTGACCCTCTCTTCCAGTCCAGAGCTCCAGCAAGTCAACCCGATTATTACACGTGTCTGAACTTACACCCTGCGAAAATAGGGATCTGAATCACTACTGAACCCTCTCTAGAATTAAGGAATAAAAGGGATTCACTAAGGCCCCTTCGCTTCTGGTGTGAGAGAATTGGCCGACTGCAGGGACGTTACCCAGGGGACTCCCGCATGGGGAACTGCAATTCTTCTGGTGTGAGAGAATTGGGCGTCTGCAAGGACGTTGCCCAGGTGAAGCCTGGATCCTGTGGGAGGCTTCTCTCATATCTCCACATGGGAAGCTGGAGCTGACAGAGGGGAGCTCGCCTCGCTCCCCGGATTTCCGTCAGCAGTCCTGCCGCACATCAAGTAACTCCTGACAAGGGGAGAAAACTAAGACCCCCCTCTACATAGCTGGATAAAATCCCACAATCTATGTTTTGAACTGGAAGTGTGAACTCAGCTATCCCAGTTCAAAGCAGATATTGTGGGATTTTCTGCCTTGATATTCTGAGTGATATGGTTGTGCGGAAGGACCCTTAGTCTCCTCTGCTGAGGCGGGGAAGGCCTTCCCAAAGCGGCCTCCTGGGCGCATCTATACTGGAGAATGGATGCAGTTTAACACCACTTGAACTGCAATCGCTCGACGCTATGGAATCGTGGGTGTTATAACTTTGCAATGTATTTAGGCTTCTCTGCCAAAGAGTGTTGGTGGATCATCAAGCCATAGCATTGAGCCAGGGCAGTTCAAGTGGAGTGGAGCTGGATTCCTTTTTCTGTCTAGAGATGCACCCAAAGACCCAAAGTCTCCTCGGGCGGCTGTTTGCTGCATCTCTAAATGAATACAGTTTGATATCAGTTGAACTAGCATGGCTCATGGAAGTTGTAGTTTGGTGAGGTACCAAGAAGGCGAGAGACTTCCCAAACCTAGAACTGCCCTTTGCATTCAAAGTGCTGTCAAACTGCATTCGTTCGACACAGCGATGGACTCTAATTCATTCGTTTTGCAAAAAGCTCTTCCAATTAATCTTCACCCTGGGTTGTTGGAGGGTTTTTTGGGCTATATGGCCATGTTCTAGAGGCATTCTCTCCTGACGTTTCGCCTGCATCCATGGCAAGCATCCTCACTAACTCTGAGGATGCTTGCCATAGATGCAGGCGAAACGTCAGGAGAGAATGCCTCTAGAACATGGCCATATAGCCCGAAAAAAATTCCAACAACCCAGTGATATTCCAGTATGGACACAAACCCACCCTTCCTTTCACTCCGGATCCCAGGACCCTTGGTGCAAAGGTAGCGGAGTGACGCGGTTCTTGGAGATTGAGGGGGTTTCCTCGCCTACCAACGGGGTTCCCCACATTAGTTTATTTTTTCTGAATTTATTTGTTTTGTTGGACTCTGGTTTCGCTTCAAAACGAGGCGGGATTTGTTTATGAAATCGTTTCCGGGTGTTTTTTCAATCCGGAGCAGGATATTTTCACCCAAACGTGAGGCCCCTTCCAGACAGTTGTATAAAATCCATATTGAACTGGATTATATGGCAGTGTGGACTCAGATAATCCAGAAATAAAATTGGAAGAAAACGGCACTCTCTAACTTGACACTTTCCAAAAGTCATGGGCAAATGCCCCCTTATACTGGATTATATGGTAGTGTGGACTCGGATAATCCAATTCAAAGCTGATATTGTGGATTATCTGCCTTGATGTTCTGGATTATATGGCTGTGTGGAAGGGCACAAACCTGCTCTACACACCCTTCGGGATGAGACCGCTGGGCATTTTAAAACCTCAGGCAAATATTGTCGAAGGCTTTCATGGCTGGCATCACTGGGTTGTTGTAGATTTTTCGGGCTATATGACCATGTTGTAGAAGCATTCTCTCCTGACGTTTCGCCTGCATCTATGGCAAGCATCCTCAGAGGTTATGAGGTCCTCACAACCTCTGGGATGCTTGCCATCGATGCAGGCGAAACGTCAGGAGAGAATGCTTCTAGAACATAACCATCTAGCCCGAAAAACCTACAACAACCTCAGGCAAATATTCAAATCTCCTCCAAAAGCCCCGGTCTCTTTGGATAAGCAAACAGGAGGTGGCGTTTCCAGCCCTTCCTCGCCTCCCGTCTCACCCTCTCCTTCTCTTCCTTCAGCACAAACATTGGAAGTAAATAAAACCCTGCCTCCGGATTTCGAGCATTGTTTAACCTTCATTTCCCTAACGCCTCTCACCCATTCCTGTCTGCTTTTCCACAGAGTTGGTGCGCTTGCTTCCAAGGTCCAGGTTGATAGAACAACCCGGAGGAAAATACAATAACATTACCATAAACTTCCGCATTCGATACTTCCACGGAAGGAAGAATAAAATAATAATTTACTTTCTAAATGTGAACAATGTGAAGTCACTTGAAAAGAGAGATCAGGTTGTTGGATTTCGCGCTTCTTTCTCGTTTGGTTTTTCTATTTCAGTCTCGTTTGATTTTTTTCCCCCTATTTCTTCCTGGTTTGATTTTCCTATTTCTTTCTGGATTGCTTTCGCCCTTGTTTCTGGTCCCTCCTCTCTCTCCCCTTGTAAAAGGGAAGGAATGCCTTCCCAAAAGCAAATTATCATCATTTTACTTGACCTTTTGTTTCCTTTTGAGTGAAAGTAAAGCCCTGCTCTGTTTGGTTTTGTTTACCGCCGGAAGTCATTGCAAAAAAGAGGAAAGAAGTCATCGAAATTAAGACAGAGGTAGGCTCCGAAACCTTTCCTCCTCTCCAGCAAATTCCCACCATATTTTGGGATTTTATTTTATTTTATTTTGCACAGATTTGAGTTGCAAAACCTCGGGACAAAACAGTCTGGAAAGGTTTTGCAGTCCTTCCTCTTTAGGGAACATTTACCTCCATGACCAGTTCGGGCTCTTATTCTGGGCAGATTTCTCTTCCTTCCACACAGCTGAATAAAATCCCACATTATCTGCTTTGAACTCAGTGTGGACTCAGATAACCCTTCCACGCAGCCCTATATCTCAGAATATCAAGGCAGAAAATCTCAGAATATCTGCTTTGAACTGGGCTATCTGAGTCCACGCTCAGATAATGTGGGATTTTCTGCCTTGACATTCTGGGATCTAGGGCTGTGTGGAAGGGCCTTGAGTTATCTGAGTCCACACTACCATATATTCCAGTTCAAAGCAGATAATGTGGGATTTTATTCAGCTTTATGAAAGGGCCCTTTCAAGCAAGAGAAGTCTGCCTAAAATAAGAGCCCGAATTGATCATGGAGGGAAATGTTTCTTTTCCTCCTCGATGTTGGGAAAAGACTCGAAAATAATTCTCTCTCAGCTCCTATCTAGTATCTACACTGACCACTTAATGCAGCTTTCAAACCGGCATTGAAGAAAGTCGTTTCTTTGTACGGATGATGACAGAGGAAATTCTGGTAACAGTCTGAGGCTGACTGCACAAACCACTGATGCGCATTCAGGGCTCTCTTTCAGGCGCTTTTGGGAGAATGTATTGTCGAAGGCTTTCATGCCCGGAAAAATTGGGTTGCTGTGAGTTTTCCGGGCTGTGTTCCGGAAGCATCCCCTCCTATGTTCCTCCTGCACAGATATATAAACTTCCCTTTGCTTAGGTTTCCAACAGACCTCACTACCTCTGAGGATGCTTGCCATAGATGTAGGCGAAACGTCAGGAGAGAATGCTTCTGGAGCGTGGCCAGATAGCCCGAAAAATTTTACAGCAACTCTCCCTTTGCTTAGTTTCTAATAGGCCTCACAACCTCCGAGGATGGGTGCCATTGATGTGGGCGCAGCGTCAGGAGAGAATGCTTCTGGAATGTGGTCATACAGCACGGAAAACTGACAGCAACTCAGTGATTCCGACCAGGAAACCCCCGATAACACATTAAAAAATAATAGACTGGGTTATTCTTTTCTCCTGACGTTTCGCCCACATCTATGGCAGGCATCCTCAGAGGTTGTGAAGTCTATTGGAAACTAGGCAAGTGGGGTTTATATATCTGTGGAATGTTGTCTAGTTTCCAACAGACCCCACAACCTCTGAGGATGCCTGCCATAGATGCAGGCGAAAGGTCAGGAGAGAATGCTTCTGGAGCCCGGAAAAATTACAACCCAGTCTGTTATTTCCCTACTCGTTTTTTTAAAATTTCGATTTAATATTTCAGAATTAATCAATATAAACATATTGATTGGTTGATAATAAAATAGTAAGTTATTTCCCTAATATTTTTTAAATATGTTCATGGCCGGAATCACTGGGTTGCTGTGACTTTTCCGGGCTGTATGGCCATGCTCAAGAAGCATTCTCTCCTGACGCTTCGCACACATCTATGGCAGCCATCCTCCGAGGTTGTGAGGTCTATTGGAAACTAAGCAAAGGGAAGGTTTGTGTATTAGAGGGAATGCTTCCGGATTGCTGTGAGTTTCCTTGGATGTCTGGTCATGTCCCAGAAGCATTCTCTCCTGACCTTTCGCCCACATTTACTGCAGAGGTTGTGAAGTCTATTAAACACTAAGCAAAGGGAGGTTTATATATCTGTGCAGGCGAAATGCTTCCGGAACATGGCCATACAGCTCGGAAAACTCACAGTTTTTGGAAGAGTTTGTTGCCCGGTCAGTGTCGATGGAGAAATAGGGTTCTACACTCTCGGATCGATACCGTGTGGCTTTTAACTGCTAGGAGCAAGAGGGGCGAAGAAGTGTGTCCCCAAACGACGCCCAAGAGAAAGATCTTGGTGGAAAGGGGGAAAGTGGCTTTTTCCTGCTCTTCTTTGGCTGGACTCAGAGAGGCAAAAGCACAATCTCAATGGCGTGGCTTATTCTGGGTTCATTCCTCACGGCTGGGGCTGGGTCTAGGCTGCCATCTCATGCAGTTTGAACTTCATTATATGGTCAGTGTAGACCCATATCGTATGGGTCTACACTGACCATAGAATGAAGTTCAAACTGCATGAGATGGCAGCCTAGACCCAGCTAGGGGCTCTGCATGCGGATGCAGCAACCCTGGGTGCCTCCCCTTTGCAACCCCATCCCTCTCCTGCTCTTTGCTGGGTACCTTCGCTGAGTTTGGGGGTCCCTGCGGCGTCCCTGCCCCGGTCGACGGCGCCCATCTCCAGCTCAGGGGAGCGCCCTCCTCCTCCTCCTCCTCCTGCCAGTCGGGCGGCGCTGGGGCTGCTGGCGGTGCTGTCCTCTCCTCGGCAGGCCTCTCCTCCTGCTCCTGCTCCTCCGGCCTCCTTGGCTGCTCCTCCTCCTCCTCCTCGGACGGGCCCGCTCTCCAGCACCTCCCGGTAAGTGATCAGCTCCTTCTTCTCCTTCACTTTCTGATCAAACGACTTGGAAACAAAAGCGGTCAGTTCTTCCATCGCCGGCGCTGGAGCGGAAGGGCTGGGCGCTCCCTCCCTTCCGCGCGCGCCTCCTCTGCCGGCTCCCAGGGCCCCGAGAAGCACCACATCAAGGGGGGGGGGGGAAGAAGAAGAGGAAGAAGAAGGAGGGGAGGGAGGGAAAGGGGAGGAGGGAGGGAGCGAGGGAGGGAAAAGGAGGAGGAGGATGTAGAGGAGGCTTGCGCTCTCTCTCTCGCTCTCTCTCTCCCGCCGCCGCCCCACTCGCGCCCCGTCCTCCCCGCGTAGAGTTCAGAGCGGATCCGGCGCCGGCTCTTGAAGTGGCCCCCTATTTATACTTTGCAAAGCCGGCCCCTTCCTCCGGAGCAAATGAACTCCCCTTTTTGGGAAAGGAGTGCGGAGGAGGAGGAGGAGGAGGAGGAGGAGGAAGGAGACCCGGCGCAGTCCGGCCGCCTCGAGGAAGAGAAAGGGGGGGGGGGAGAGAGAGAGAGAGAAGAGAGAGGGAGCGCAGAGAGGGAGAGGGGAGAGAGGAGAGAGGAAAGAAGGAAGGAAGGAAGAAGGAAGGAGAGGAGGGGAAGGAGAGAGAGAGGGAAAAGGGAAGAAGAGAGGGAGGGAGGAAGCAAGAAAGAGGGAGAATTGAGGGGTCCGAGAGAGAGAGTGAAAAAGAGGGAGGGAGAGGAAGAGAGGGGGGGAGGGAGAAGGAGAGAGGAGCCAAACTGAGGAGGGAGAGAGAGAGAGGGGGGAAGAGGGGGGGGGGAGGGGTCCAAGAGAGAAGGGGAGGGAGGGAGAGGAAAAGAGGGGGAGAGGGAGAATGAGAGAGGAGCCAAACTGAGGAGAGAGAGAGAAGGGGGAGAAGAGGGAGGGAGGGAGGAGGGAGGGGGAAGGGAGAAGAGAGGAGCCAAACTGAGGAGGAGAGAGAGAAAGGGGAAGAAGAGAGAGGGAGGGAGGGAGGGAGGAGGGTAAGAGAGAGAGGGAGGAGAGGAAAAGAGGGGGAGAGGGAGGGAGAGGAAAAGAGGGGAGAGGGAGAAGGAGAGAGGAGCCAAACTGAGGAGAGAGAGAGAGTGAAAGGGGGAAGAAGAGAGAGGGAGGGAGGGAGAGAAAGAGATGGGGGAGGGAGAATGAGAGAGAAGCCAAACTTTGGAGAGAGAGAGAGAGGGAAAGGGGGAAGAAGAGAGAGAGAAAGAGAGGGAGGGAGAGGAAGAGAGGGGGGAGGGAGAAGGAGAGAGAAGCCAAACTGAGGAGAGAGAGAGAGAGAAAGGGGGAAGAAGAGAGAGGGGGGAGGGGTCCGAGAGAGAGAGGGGGGGAAGAGGAAGGGAGAGGAAAAGAGGGGGAGAAGGAGAATGAGAAAGGAGCCAAACTGAGGAGAGTGAGAGAGAGAGAGAAGGGGAGAAGAAAGGGGGGGGGGGGGGGTCCGAGAGAGAGGAGGAAAGAGAGAGAGGTGGGAGACTTCCACCTCCCCTCAGCCCACCCCCTCCTTTTTCTGATCCAGAGACCGGGGTTTTCTCTCTTTCACTCGCGCTCTCTCTCGGCCATTAATCCAGGATTGACAAGGATCCCTAATTAATTTAATTAGGCGTGGGTCTTGCGCGAAGGTCCGGAGTTAGTTAGTTAAACACTGCACTGGGAGGGGGAGGAGGAAGGGAGGGTGGTGGAGGGGGAGGGCATGCTTCGGCGGCAGTGGGAGGGCAGGGCCTTGACCCCTCTCCCGAGCCGAGTGCCCGGACCCCGGTGGGTCTTTCCTGCCAAGACAGAGAATCAGTTGGACAACAACAGTTGCGCGCTTTTGGAGAGGCGGCCACCGGGCCAAGGCTGAAACCGCCGAGCCTTGGAAGGCAAGCGGCTCCGCAGGATCCAGAGGGTCGCACCTAGTTCCCACCCCTTAGGAATAGACCTTCTCATCCCTTAGGAGATTATACATAGTCGGATATGTATATATAATCCTACGTCTAAATCAGACATGGACAAACTTGGGCCCTCCCTCCAGGTGTTTTGGGACTTCAACTTCCACGATTCCTAACAGCCTCCGGCCCCTTCCTTTTCCTCCTCAGCCGCTTAAATGAGGAGGAAAGGTGCTCCCTGGGCTCTTGTGCTTAAGCTTAAATTGAGGGCCTTTCCTTTTCCCTTCCACTCAGCCCTATACCCCAAGATATCAAGGCAGAAAATCCCACATTATCCGAGTATGGACTCAGATAACCCAGCTCAAAGCAGATATTGTGGGGTTATCTGCCATGATATTCTGGAATATAAAGCTGTGTGGAAGGGAAAAGGAAAGGGCCTGAGGCTGTTAGGAATCGTGGGAGTTGCAGTCCAAACACCTGGAGGGCCGAAGTTTGCCCAGGCCTGATCTACATCTAGGTAGATTTGAACCCTAGTCTCTACACCATGCAAGTGTTTGTCATACTTATCCTTATACCTATACATGTGTGTACACAAACAGGCGCGGTTCCATGTAAAAAAAGATGAATAGAACCCACATATATTTTTAAAAATCTATATACTACATCGCGTTTGTTCCCATGTATATAGAAAGAAAGAAGAAACGTGTGCGTCCTCTCTCTCTCTCTCTATATATACTAGCCATCCCCTGTCACTGGTTGCGCTGGCCAAGTCTGTGTATATATGTGTGTGGTTTTGCGCATGCGTTGTAATGCATTCTTTATTATTATTATTATTATTATTATTATGCTTTTTAAGTCTCTTCCGCTGTGTTTTTCAGTGTTTTTATGAGTGATGGTCACTCGTTGGCCTGATAGGTGTACCGTGTCCAAATTAGGTGTCAATTGGTTCAGTGGTTTTTGAGTTATGTTAATCCCACAAACAAACATTACATTTTTATTTATATAGATACAGACAGACACACATATACTCTCTCTCTCTCTCTCTATATATATATACATACACACATATACTCTATATTTACACATATACACATACTCTCTCTCTGTATATATATATATATATATATATATATACACATAAACACATATACTCTATACACACATACACTCTATATATACACATATACACATTCTCTCTCTCTCTCGCTCTCTTTCTCTCTCTATATATACACACACACATATATATACTCTATATATGCACTTACATATACTCTCTCTCTATATATATACACACACATATACTATATATATACACATATTATATATATATATATATACACATACACACACTCTATATATATACACACATATACACATACTCTCTCTATATATATACACATACACACATATACTCTATACACATATACACATTCTCTATATATATACCCACACACATATACTCTCTCTCTCTATATATATACACATACACACATACTCTCTCTCTATATATAGACATATACACATACTCTCTCTATATATATATACACATACACACATATACTCTCTTTATATATATACGCACACACATAGGCTCTCTCTCTATACACACACACACACACACTCTACACACTCACACACATTTATTACACACGGTTCCCTATAGATCAATAGGTCTATGGAACACACAAACATAGACAGACATAGATAGATAGGTGATCTCTATTTTATTTGTTGTCCTTGTGTGCCTCCAGGCCGTTCCCATTTCCCGCGTTTCATTGGCAGGATTTGCTCAGAAGGGGTTTCCTCTGAGGCTGAGAGAGTGCGACCTGCCCAAGACCACCCAGTGGGCTCCCTGTCCTGAGCGGGGATTTGAACCCTGGTTCAGCGACAGAACATCAGCCCGACACTTACTGCACTGCTTTGGCTCTCATGCGAACAGAAAAAGAGTTTTCCTTCTCTCTTTAGTTTCTTCCCTCCAGCCCTGGTCTTCTTCTAGTGCATTTTTAGACTTTTAAACCATAGATTTGGGACCCTTCCACACAGCAGAAAATCCCACAATATCTGCTTTGAACTGGGTTATGTGAGCCCACATTGCCATATATCCCAAATTCAAAGCGGATAATGTGGGATTTTATTTAGCTGTGTGGAAGGAGCCTTACTTCCCTTGACGGGGTGTGTTTCTCTTCCCGGGTTTTGCGTGGAAAGGTGCCCAGATCCGGGTTTCCGTGCGCGCTGCGCGTGGTGAGGGCGAAAAGAGTCCTGCTGCCGGCCCTGAGTGGCACGTGGAGGCCCAAACCTCGGGGGAGAGGGAGGAGGAGGTGGCGTTTTGGCGGATAGACGAGTCTCGGGTGGAGGGGAGCGTGGGCAAATCTCCCATTGGGTTTCCCCCCGGAGTCCTCCTTTCTGGCACGAAAAGGAAGCGGTGTCAATCAAATCTGTGGATGGCAGGGCTTTTGGGCCAGGGATGCACAATCCCCCCATTGGACAGTGAAAGAACTCAATGGTTTTGACTCTGTAAGCGAGGACGCATTGGGTGGCTGTGTAACCCGAAGCCTAGTTAAAGGGGAGGAAAGAAGTGGGGGAACCGAAGGAGGCTCAGGAGAGAAGCCACCCTTTTGCCACCTGCCAAACGGCGGCACGAGAGGGAATGCGGCCGGGACTCGGCTTGGACTGGTCTTTAGCCATTTGTCTACCCTTTCTGCTTCGTTTAACTTCATTATATCCCGAGGAGGAGGCAGAGTTTGCGCTTTGAATACCCCCCTCCCCAAGGTTTGTGTCCTGCTAACAGAAAACTTTCCTCCAAAAGAAAGAGGAAGTTAAACTAGTGTCAAAAATAAAAAGCAAAAGTTAAAAACAAAGGATTCCTCTAGGCAGGAATCAACCAGGTCTTGAAGCTGCAAGGTCATTCGATGCTAATCAAGGTGGCCAATTGCAACATTCACTCTTGCCTCCAACAAACAAGAGTTCTTTCTTCCACCCTGGACCTTCCACAGATATATCAATCTCCCTTGCTTGGGGCCCTTCCACACAGCCCTATATCCCAGAATATTAAGATAGAAAATCCCACAATATCTGAGTATGGACTCAGGGCTCTTCCACACAGCCCTATATCCCAGAATATCAAAGCAGAAAATCCCACAATATTTGCTTTGAACTGAGTTGTGCGGTATTTTTTTTTTTTTGCCTTGATATTCTGGGATATAGGGCTGTGTGGAAGGGCCCATAGTTTCCAACAGACCTCACAACCTCTGCCATAGATGTGGTCGAAACGTCAGAAGTGAATGCTTCTGGAATTGCAGAACAGGAGACAACCAAGGCCAGCTAACACCTCCCAACAATGGATTTCCCCAGGCAGGACTAAGCCAGGCTTTGAAGCTGCAAGGACATTCAGTTGTAATCAAGGTGGCCAATTGAAACATTCACACTTGCCCCCAATAGACAAGAGTT